TTTTTTTTTTAACGAGAAAATCGAATGAAACTGCAGTACGGCAAACTCATGGTTACTCTCCTATAAATCCTACATGCACTTTTGGGATATTGAGTTCCCTGTGCTTCTCATTCGTCTCGCTGCGATTATTACATCTTGACTTTCTCGTTCCGTCTGCTTTTTTCGCATGATGCAATATATTCACTCAGAAACTTACACTGTTGAACAAGCGGATATTCTATAAAAAAATGTTTAGAAAAGTTATTCGACTTGTCTTCATTCAGGTCTTTAAGATAAGACTGGCATTTTGTTGTTCTTTGCTGATTTTTTAAGTCTGTATGTTTAGAATGCTGTTCTTCGCTGATTTTTCTACGCAAATCCGAAGACTTATCCGGCTTGAATGCCATAAAATAAATATTTTTATTTCGCTCCCATTACTAAATAAATTTAAACATGTTTTATGTTTCGTTTGTTCATCTATAATATTCTTCTAATTTCGTTTGGAGCCTATTTTTTATTTTATCTGATTCAACATGCATCGATCTTTTTTCGATTCTTTTGATATAAATAATCCGAAGGTAAAGCTACTTTGCGAGTGTGAACATGCTTAGTGCTAGACATCATTCCACATCGAAAAATGACGCAAAACGACACCCTTGCATATTCAGGCCCCTCACAATAATTCTACGCWTTGTGTATCCACGAGTAAAACAGCATTTAAAAACAAGTAAAAAATTTAAAAGAAATCCTGTTTCAAGCGCGCGCTGGCTCCTTGCGCGAGCAAGATGACTTGTGTATGACTTGTTTTGATATAATTATTCTTTATATTTCTTCATTCCAGGTTCTGGAGTCAATGGCTTAGAGGATATCAAATCACATCCCTTTTTCTCTAGTGTTGATTGGTCTTCTTTAAAATCTAATGATTACCAAAACTAAATTAATGACGTTTTTTGACATTCACATCCTTATACAACTAGAAGCATCTAGTAGTGACACTAATGAGAGGCACAAAACTCAAGACCCGTACAACGTTCCAGCCCGTGCGTCGATGGGATGACATTAAATGTTCGTCTAACTCAGTTGGATCCTCAAAATGGGGCGTGAAGTTCATGCGTCGGTCAGATGGTAACACTGTAAAAACTGCCTGGTTGAAACAACCAAAAAACATTGGATAAATTTTTCAACTGAGACAACCAGTTTTAAATGGCTGAAATATTGGTTGTTATTAACGATTTACTTTGGGTTATAACAACCATAATAATAATGGTGGGTTTGGTTGGTATGGGTCTATCAGTACTGTTTTGGCCCCCTCAATTACGCAAAATCAAGGGGGGAATCCATATAAGGGTCTAAAACAGTCCCAAAATCAGAGCTTAAAAAATGGCCCCTACCGGTAGTGTCAAAATAGCCCTACTTTAAGGAGGCCACTATACAGTCAATATTTTGGGCCCTATCCGATTTACTGTGCATGAACGATTTACTTTGGGTTACAACCACTGTAATATTTTTTGATAATTATAAACAATTTACTTGGGATTATAACAATCAAAATATATTGGTTATTATAACYAATATTTTTAAGTTCAAGGCTATGCAACTGAGACCACCAGTTTTTTTTAGATTACTTCCTGTGATTTTAAACAATTATATTGTGGTTAAAATTTCATTGCTAAAATCTAGCTAAGATTTTAAAATTAGTAGAAAACAATAACGAGAGTGAACATGCAATTTCAACGTTTTGTAAAAAAATCTTCATTTTCAACTCTGACAGCTGCGCGCGTACGGAATTTTCGCACGAGTTGGTGAAGTATCTGAAATCGAACGAGTGAGATTTTAGATACAAAAGCAACAAGTGGGAAAAGCCCGTACAATGCGCTTACCATGCTCTAATCCTTATTTATTTTAGCGGAGCTAAGTAGAAGATGGTAGACTATGCAACTCAGTTTTCGTGGTCATCGCATAAGAACCCTGTGCGTAACGCTAAAAGTGTCGCCCGCCAGGTGTACATCGCGTTTCTGATTGGTCGAGCTTTCAAATCACACGTCACTTGGAAAATGACGACTTTTTTAGCGAGATTTTTTAACTATCATTTTTTTGTAAATATTGTAAAAACGAAACAAAAAATTATTGAAGAAATCATGGAAAAGAAGAATTCGCCACAGTGTGAAGATAGAGGTTAGGACATTTTCTATTTTGTTTTATTTAGTGTAGATAACATAGATACAACATTACCGGAAAACGAGCAACAAACTAGCATGACGAACGAGCGAAAAAACTACTTGTTTTGTTCTTATGGTAGTTCATACACGATATAAAATAATCATTTGAAAAAGAACTTTTTGAATTCC